TTTGTCCTAAAAAGGGGGAAAAATGTCTTGGGCATATGGTATATTGTCAAGGCTGTATCTAGGTGGGAGAGAAAGCCTGTTCGAATCTGTCGGAATGGAATAATAAGTTATCAAAGAAGGGTATGTAGGACCTCCCGGGAAGGCCCTCATCTCTCCATCTGTGCACTGCTGCTTGGTTTCTGGGCCCCAGGATCCTGGGTTAGTGGTAACCCGCTTGCTCGTTCCTGCACGTTATCTGGAAGCTTTCTACCTCTGCTCCTTGGTGCAGGTGATCCTTGGTCCTTGAATTTAAAATGTGCCCCTCCCCAAGGCGCCACTCATGGGTGCTACTTGCCTTCATCCAAGGTCCAGCTGAAAGGCCACCTTGTCCATGAGGCTGTTCTGCATGCTCCCTAATTGCTGAAGGTGGTGTCCCATCCCCTCTACCCAGGGGAGTGTTTGGGGGTCAGGATTCTATACTGCCCCAAGACCTAACTTGGTGTTTTAAATATTTTGTTCATGTTAACAACTGTGGCATCACCCCTTACCTCGGGGGAACTCCCTGCACAATGGGTTCAGACCACTGTGGTCCACAGGGTGCTCATGGGCTGACTTTCTCAAGAAGATGAGCAGATCTTTTTTCCTAGTCCATCTTAGTCTAGAGGCTCTGCCAACACCTGAGCATCATCAACACCTGCAAGCCTTCCTTGATGACAGAGAAGGGACTATGCTGGGGTTCACAGACCAAAACTGAACACAGATCCCCTACATGGAAGGTAAGAAGGTGCCCCTGAGCCACCAGCGTCCCTGGCTTGACTACAAGATGGGCTTACACGGCAGTCTTGGTTCACCTGCGTTTCAGCCCTGGGCTCCCCAGTTCATTAGTTGTGCAACTCTGAATGAGCCCTCTTGGCTTTCTTCATCTCAGTTTCCACATCTGTAAAACGCGGTGATGTGCATCCCACATCAACAAGCAGGTGGAGGAATGAATGCAATAAGGCAGAAGGCAGGCTGGACACAAGTCCTCATTTGTTCATTGCGGCTCCCTCTGGTGAGGTTTGGGTGATGCTTTGTAGACGGGATAGCCATGCACATAGTAATTACATAAGGCTAAGAGGAGGCCGGTGGGAAAATGACCTCTAAGGAGTTGGCTTGAAGGATGGAAAGCAAACCAAAAAAAGAATAATGTATACTTAACAGGGAGGTCGTTTGAGGTAAATAAGCCTTTCAAACACTTAAGCAGCTTAATGTGTCACCTGTAATCTTGTCTACATGGTCAATTTGTTTAACAAACTCCTGTCTTCCTTACTTGTCCCATCTTAATGATCACAAGTCTGGATGAGGTGGGTCTAACTGAACTAGGTCTTACACCAGCACTGAAGAGGAGAAGGAGGCATAAAGTACCTTGAGATTCTTCCCCTCAAATGTGATACCGACTTGTAGGCTTCTTTATGACAGAAGCTCAGCTTATAAAGACGAAGATGGTATCATTCCTCAGTTATAACTCTGGGGGGTCACTCAGGAGGCCACTTTCCTCAGGGGAAGCACCAAACATCCCAGTAGAAGCCCCCTTTAAAAATGGTGGTGTTGGCCACCCTGCTAAGAGAGATGTGCAGAGAGTGAACAGACAGTTGGGGTCACGTGCCTGGCCTGCTGCATATAGTGGGTGTCTGGGAGTGGCGCTGGGAGGAAGTAAGTAAAGGAAGACACCTATAACCGATCCAGTTGTCATGGGGTCACGTCCTCCTCCTGGCAGCCCCACACGGGTCCAAGTAGAGCTGTGCCCCACAGGGCTCCTGATGGCTGACATTTCAGAAGCAGATAAGCAGAACTGTCTTCCAAAGTGCCTCTGAGGGAACTTGAACCTCCAGCCTTTGGGTTAGGAGTCCATCAAGTTCATCCTTTGAACCACCCAGAAATTCCTTAGAGTAGAAGCTGTCAGTTAAATTTGACCCTAATTTCTCTACTCAGACCTCCACTACCATTAGCCCCTAAAAGTAGAGATAGTGCTAGAAAAACAACATCCACCACCTCCACCCCACCCCCCACCGCCTACACACACACACCCCTGGTGTCCCAAATCCCAGGATCAGGACATGGGGAAAGGGAACATCCAGGGACAGTTTCTTGGACACTAATTCAAATGGAGGTAAGAGCTGGGTCCTCCACAGCTAACAAGCCCAGCACTACCTGTGTGCCGGAGAAAGAGCCCCACCCTCCTGTTCCCACCTGTGTGCTAGAAATCCTGGAGAGACAGCCCATGCTCAGAGGAGGAGGAAGGTCTCCAGGCTTTTAGAATCTGTCCAGAGCAATGCACAGACTTTGCATGTGTTCCTGCCTTACAGCCTCATGGTCACTTCAAATGCAGGCTCACACAGGGCTCTCTACAGTATCAGAAGGTAGATGGTTCAAAATTCTGGGCCGAGACTTTATTTTCAGCTCCCCGCTCTGCCTCCTAGACCCACATGACATGAAAAAAATAAAAACCATTGCTATACATAGCAACCCTATAGGGCTGAAGAGAACTGTCTATAAGCATTTCAGAAGCAGATCCTCTCACCTGGTGGGTTCGAACCAATGACCTTTCGGTTTGCAGCCTAACACTTAACTCACTGCGCCACCAGGGGTCCTTGAGTTAGAGCACCTGACCTTGAAATAGCAGGGGGTCTTCTTCACATGGACTCCAACTTGGCTGTTGACTAAGAACCCCAGCCTGTCTTGTTTTTGATGTCCAATCGATGTTTTAAGAGGATTCTGACAGGCAGCCCAAGGATGGCTGATTTGTGCTCCCCGTGTATTTAAGCCCTATTGAAACTGCGGCTCCAGGGCTGATGCGTGTGCTCTGTGGCACTCATGTGCTGCCTGAAAGGGTCTTGGGTGGCACAGTGCTGAGAGTCCGGCTGCTAAGTGCACGGGCAGTGATTCAGACCCACCAGCCAGTCCTCAGGGAAGAGATGGAGCAGTCTGCTCCCATAACGATCCTGAGTCCTGGAAATCCTATGGGTTAGATCTAGTCTCCTACAGGGTCGCTAGGAGTCAGGATCATCTCGAAAACCACAGGTTTGCTTTGTGGTTGGAGGGGCACTTGGGTGTGGCCTGCATTATTCCTAGCTGAAAAAGTGTCAGACTTGCATGAATAGGCAGCTCCCTTTGTGGGGTGGACATTTCCCGTCATGAATAATACTGTCTGACAGGCCTTACAGTCAGGTCATTTTCTTTTTCCCACTAAGAAAAGGGATTTGCCAGTGTGTGTCAGTGAAGGGAGGTGGGGGGCGGGGTGTGAAGTATTGGGGCATTAACCTCGAGGTTGGCAGTTCAAGCCCACCAGTGGAGAAAGAAGAGGCAGTCTGCTCCTGTAATGATTTGCAGCCTCAGGAACCCCACGAAGCAGAGTGCCTCTGTCCTGTGGGGTCACTGGGAGTCAGAGCCCTTGATAGCCGTGAGCGGGTCAGTGTGTGGCATGGACAAGAAGCCAAGTGTGGCGCTGCCTTTTGGCTGTGCTGTGCAGACCTGTGGCCGTCTTCAGGGGGCTTTCAAGGGGCACAATGTGGAGTCCCATTGCTCTCAACTCTGACGGGGGCAGTCACTAGATGTGCGATCTCGGTTCTGTCATCTATACAATGGGAACAGGGTTGCCAGAGGAGACCAGAGAGACCACTGATGCAGCGTCCAGCATCAGCCCAACATGTACCCTTAAGTGTGAACACCAATGGCTGCCCTCCCGTCCCTCCGTGACCTCCGTACTGTTCACCAGTGGAACGTGGAGAGGAGGCTATGGAAGGAAGATTCCCTGGGGAGTCCTAACCGGCAGAAGCTAAGAGTTCAGACCCTGGGAGCTCTGGGGGGAGTGGGGAGCTGGGAGGTTTACGTTCATCTCCACCATATCACAGCTGTGTGTCTGCGGGCAGCTATTGACTGCTTCTAAGCTTGAACTCTACCCACAGGACTGTGGAGATGAGCATAATTCTTGTGCTTCATCCGGAATTGGTGAGGACTAGCCAGGAGAAAGCTTGGCCAGCCTGTAGCATAGTGCCTGGAATCGTTAAGGGCTCAATAAATGGTCGCTGATTATCTCGTCAATCTCATTGCCCCCCCACCCCCCCCACCCCCCAGCTGTCTTTGCGTTTGTGTGCTTGCACACTTTGAGTAACCAGGGTCTTGGGAGAGAAAAGCGGACATGACATTCTGAGGCTGCGTTTGAGGGCAGCTTGTGCTATATATCAGCTGTCAGACGCCAGCGCTGTGACCTCTCTAACCGGTTTTCCCACCTGTGAAATGGGACCTCTAAGCACTTCCTCACACCTGCCTGCTAAGGGGAATGAATGAGAATGAGCGGATACACACCACGGCATGGTGTCAAGCACGTTAACAAAATAATCAGAATGATAGACTCCTATTTTAACATGGTGGGTTCTTTTCCCCTTCTGAGGACTTAAGAAATCATTGCCATTACTTTTGAGTTCCCTTGGTGGGAAAGAGCTGGAATATTTTCATAGAAACCCAAATGGTCTCGTGGGATTTAGGGATTTCCGGCTTCTGGCAGTGAAAGGCAGGGCTCAGAGGGACTACAGGATGCTCCCTCCCTCCCCACCCCGCACAAGTCCACTTGGACACAAGCAACAGCAAGGGAAGGAGGAGTGACCTACTTCAGGAGAAGGCCAGTCCGGGGAGAGACCCTGCAGTGGAGAACTTGCTAGAGTCCACAAAAGACTGGTCTGATAATGGCGACAACAGGGAATGAGAGAGCAGAAAAGAGAAACGGAGGCATTAGTAAGCAGAAACACTAGTCTCCAGCACACCGGAGCCTGTGTCAGAGGGTGGCTGCCTCTCCTGTGAGCGGAATTGCTGGAGCCAGAGAGAGAGCTGGTCAGGCAGTGCTATCCCAGGAGGGAGGCTAGGGCCAGGGTACAGACCGCAGACACAGAGGCGATGGAGGGCAGAGAGAGGGAAGCAGGCACCACAGAGGCCCTGGGAAGGAGTGGCCAGACCAGGGGCTCTAGGTGAGTGGAGCCTGAACTTACCTTGCAGGCTGTTCCCATTGGTGCTGGTGCAGGTGGGAGGCGGGGAAGTCTGGGGTCTGACAACTGGCGCAAAAGCGCTCTTCTGTTTCACAGCGGAGACCATGTTGGCTGGTGAGAAGGAGAAGATGCCGGAGGAGCTGCTGCAGTTGGAGGGGAGGCTTGTGGAGGAGGCCATGGTGGGGCTGGATGGCACAACTACAAGGGGTGAAGGGAAAGGAGGTGTCAGCTCGGCTCCCCCCGGTGCCTTCTGAACAGGTGGCTGGGCCTGACCCTGGCCAGGCTGCCTGCTCAGCAAACCCTTCTGGCCAGAACCTGTCCTGCCTGACAGCATCCTCAGCAGACTGTCTGCCTTCAACGTGCCTTGCCTGCATGCACTGCCTCTCGCCAATCGGTGATTGTGGGCGGTGGGCCTTTCTGTTAGGAGCCGAGGACGTTAACCTCTGGTCATCCTCCCCCGACCTCTGAAAAAGGTCATCTACTTCAAAAACTCAAGAGTTGAAAACCCTGTGGAGTCCAGTTCTACTCTGACACACAAGGGGTCACAATGAGTCAGCATCAATTTGAAGGCCACTACATGCCAGGCAGTGCGCTCGGCAGAAGTGCACTGCACCCTTACAAGGGCTGATTCTCACTCACCGGGCACAGAGCCTCTCTGAGGCCGTGGATCTTGATGAAAGGAGACTGCCTCATCTTTCTTCCTTGGTAGTGGCTGGCTGGTTCAAAGCTCCAATCTTACAATTAGCTGCTCAACACTTTACCCCTTGTGCCTGGCTGCCTTTCCTATTACTGGCAAAGGTGAGAGGATAACTCAGTGGAGGTAGGGCAGGGAAGTGGTTGGTGCTGGTGGTCAGAGAAAGCTTCTCAGAGGGGGGCTCAGGAAGCACTCCAGGTAGGGCCTAAACTGAGGCACCAGCAAAGGGGCTGGGCTCTGCCAGACAGGCAGAGGCCAGCTGGAGAGGGAATGAGGTAGAAGAAAGGGGAATTGAAGGACTCCAACTTAATGTACAGGAGCCCTGGTGGCATAGTGGTTGTGTGTTGGGCTGGTAACCAAAAGGTCAGCAGTTCAAAACCACCGTTACTTCATGGAGAACTATGAGGCTTGCTACTTCTGTAAGGAGTTACAGTCTCCAAAGTCCACTGGGGCAGTTCTAGCCTGTCCTTTAGGGTCACTCTTGAGTCAGCATCAACTTGATGAGTTTGGTTTGGGTTTTAACTTAATGTACCAGTTGATGTGTGTGTGTGTGTGTGTGTGTGTGTGTGTGTGTATCTGAATCCTCTGCACTGTGCTGTGCGTTCCACAAGAGAGACAGGGGCAGGAAGGTAGGTGGATGTGCTGCCGCGAAGCTTTTGTGAAAAATGCAGAGCGGCAGTCAGAGCTCCCAATTCTCCTGTTCCCCCAAGGGAGCCTTACACAAATGTTTGTGAATGAGAAAATCCGAGGACAGGAGCCTTATGCAAACACTCGCAGTCCGGTGTTAGCAGGGATGCGGATAAGCAATGATAAGAACCTTGGCCCCTCAGAGGGAGAAGAGCTAGCTGCAACGGGACAGGGAAGAGTTTGGTAGGTGCACGCTCCCGCTTGCATTTTCATCGTTAAGCTAACCAGGTGCCATTGACTCAGTTGACTCAAGGCAATCCAATGTGTGTAAGAGTGGATCTGTGCTCCACAGGGTGTTTGAAGGCTGATGTTTTTGGAAGCAGATCTCCAGGCCTTTCTTCTGAGGCACTTTTGGGTGAATCAAACCTCTAACCTTTTGCTAGCCTCCTAGCACTTTAATCATTACTCCACCCAGAGACCCCTTTGTCATTAAATGTTGGCTAATGATCTTTTTATTTATTTCAGGCGACTCCTCTTCCCACAGGCTCACCCACCCATCTCTGCATTTCCCAAGGAAACGAGGACTTGCAGCTTGTCAGCCCTTAGTTCAAATCCTCATTCATGCCCGTCTCATCTCATAAGCAGTGTACACTGCTTTGCCAGCCACAAGCATCTTCCTGCCCTTTTCATTCTCTCTTGGTGACGCAGCCAGCTGGAGGCCAGTCTTTTTCACACCTGAACAAATGCAGCCAGCTCAGCCCCAGAGGAAGGCTTTTGCTCAAGGCCCACTGCACCAAGGCCACCAGGCCAGGGCTCACACCCAGATTCCATGCTGTCTGCACTCAGCCTGCCTGCCAGGGGCAAAGGCCCGGCCGCCAGAGTCCTGAAGAGGCAGCTGAGGTGGCCTTACCCCGCCTGCCAGCTTTGGAGAGGTAAGGAAGTAGGACTCCAATGGGTCTTCTGCAGCAACTGCCCTAATAGGGGAAATGAGCCCTGGTGATGGGGCCCGGCACTGAAACCCCAAGGCACCAAATGCTTCCCGAAACAGAACCCGGAGCTCCCATCCTTAGAGTTTTCACAAACATGCTCTAAACTGTACTTTTTCTTTTAATGAGGCCCGCATTTTTATACATCTCTTAGGATTTGTAAATGTGAAAATACGCTCAATAATAACATCCATTTAAATTGCAAAACTCATGCACTGGAGGTTTGATTTTTAAATATTCGTAGACTTGAAATCCTGCTGGTTCACTGAGGAAGGCAATTAATCTCCTTGGCAAATGTGATCATTATGTGTATTTAGAGGTGGGGAGCTGGGGGTGGCGCGGTGAGCAGAGGAAGGGGTGAAAAATAGTCCAGGAGCCCCATTTGTTACAGCATTATTAGTTACCAGCCACCACACCAGCTAGTGTAGTACACCAGTGGAATGTCTTATTTTATTTTATTTTTTTATCCCATTTGGAATTTTTCAACATGAGTGGTTTATGAATAATTAAATATTATGGAGGCAAAAATTCAAATCAGCTGAGCTTTGTGTTTATTGTTTTATTTGCATTTATGCAGATAAAACCGTCCCATCTGAGAGCCTATTTGAGAATTTAATAGTAGATTCGTGAGCACTGAGGAAATCAATTAATGGAAATTAAATGTTGGAAGTTTCACAGTCTGACAGATGCAATCTCAGGCTACAGTCACCTGGTGCTGGCCCCGGCTTGGGGAGGCACAGCAATCCAGGCCCCTAAATTGAATTGCTACCATATAGCAATTAGTTTATTGATTTAATTAAGAATGCCACCTTTTCATTGTCAGGTCATGATTGAAACATTTTCTGATGGAGTGGATTGGAGAACACCAAAATGATAGATCTCTGAGAAACAATTCTTTGATGAATCATATCGAATATGAAACCAAACTCCAAACATTGACCAGATAAGGACACTACTTGGGGGAGAAGTTCAAATGGTCAACAAGCCTCTGATTTCAAACCAATAAATCAGGAAGGCAGAATGTCACATACACAGAGTATAAAGCTGCACCCGGTTAGGGAAACCCCTCCATAGACTTTCGGAGTAGCTTCTCTTGAAGACCAAGAATGACCAGTCCTCTCCTCCAAGGGTGCCCGCCCTCTTCATGTGCCCCATGAGAGAGTGCATCGTTACTGGTCTTTTTCAGCCAAGGTTCTTGTATACATGCCATGAAGATTCTGTCATTGGCCAGCCCATCTTTTATCATGACTTCTACAGAGGCCTAGGAGTTTGGCCAAGTTTGACACTTCAAAGCAGTCTTCCACGCGGTCCTAAATGAACCTGGTTATCTAGGAAATGGTCCTCAGGGGAGATCAAGAGATTCTGTAGACAGGGGCCTGCAGTACATTTCAAATACAAAATGCCGGTGTACTGAGGTGCTTCAGAGGCAACATAAACATTGAACCAGGAAACCTCTTAAGCTCAACTTCTTAGGGATTATAACACAGAACTATTCTCCTTCTCTCCTCTTTCTTTTAATTTTGACAAGTTTCCAGGGGTGAGTGGGAAGGGAGATATGTTTTTTTGATTTTTATGTGTTCATTTAAGTACAGACCAAACACAAAAGGAAAAAGAAATCTAAACATTAAAAACTCTAGTCATATTTCTAAAAGGAAAGGTTTGAAGTGTGAAGCAGTTGTTACTGTACAGCACCCCACCATCCACACTTGTTGTTATTGATGATCCTGACTTGTTGACCGTGCTTCTCAGCAGGAAAAGCTCTGCCTATGCACCTATCGAAACCTCGAAACAGCTCTGTGAAGTAGATGGTAGTCTCAGCCCCATCTTACAGGTGAGAGGGTTAAGTTTGGAGAAGAGCTTGCTCAGAGCCCCTCCTTTAGCAACTAGAACCAAAACTCCAAATCCACGGTCACCAAGTCAATCCCAGCTCATTGCAACACTGGAGGACAGGGTAGAACTTCCCCCTCTGGGTTTCCAAGGCTATACATCTTTATTGGAACCGAAAGCCTCATCTTCCTCCCATGGAATGGCTGGTGAATTTGAACTGCTAACCTTGTGGTTAACAGCCCAATGTATAACCCGCTATGCCACCAGAGCATCTAGTTAGAACCAGGAGTCAAACCCATCTCCATCTGACTCCATGCTTTGGTTTTTGCAATTACATTGTACTGCTACTGTGGGTCAGATGACCCTATAGGACAGAGTAGAACTGCTGCTGTGAGTTTCTGAAACTGTTATTGTGTACGACAGTAGAAACCCCATCTGCTGACTTTGTGGTTAGCACAGTGGTCCTCAACCTTCCTAATGCTGCGACCCTTTAATACAGCTCCTCATGTTGTGGTGACCCCAAACCATACAATTATTTTTGTTGCTACTTCATCATTGTCATTTTGCTACTGTTGTGAATCGGCTGACCCCTGTGAAAGGGTCATTTAACCCCCAAAGAGGTTGCGACCCACAGGTTGAGAAACGCTGGTTAGCAGATCAGCATGTAACCACTATGCCACCAGGGCTCTGCATCTACCAGATGGCAGTGGGTTCGGTTGTTGTGGTTGCTGTGATTTTATTAGTGGGTCAGGGCTTTGAATCAATTAAAGCCAGTTTAGTCATAGCTGACAGAGTAAAATCAGCACAGACTCATTTGTTTGTTTTTAATTTGGGTGAAAGAGAATGATAACTGGAAAAGTTACAGGTGGAATCGCTGGAATGGGAGACTTGAAAGCGGAGTGGTGAGTCCATTAAGGTGTCTGATGTGGGAGACCAGAGTGTTACCAGAACTGCGTAGGGTCTCACAAGTCTGATGTGGTGCAGTTGGCTGCCATACTTAAGCCTGATGCCATTGCCTCTGACTCTGTCAGTCAAGAGACTTAGTTGCTACGCAACACACAAGGCGCTCTCGTTTTTTTCTAAGCTAAAAGAAGGATGGCAGTAACTTTCTAGCAGAGCACCCATTCAAACGTTTATTTTCAGTCCTGACGATTCTGGTTCACCTGTAGTTTACAAAGGGGAGCATGTCCCCGTCTCACTCTGCTAGCTCCGACAAAACGGGGAGGGGCCATGTCAAAGCCCCTCTTTTGGTTGCCACAAGGCTCTGCCTGTTAGGGAGCCTGCGGAGGGAGCAAGGACAGCACAGAAGACTGAAGTTCTGCTGGAGGCAACGGAGCCTTAACACCACCCCCTGGGCCTTGCAGGATGGGGGCTCTTATGACAAGGAGACCTATGTCCCCACCGGACTAGGAAAGCTAGATACACAGCTTTACTTACTGGCATAGGGCGAGTTGGCAGCTGAGCCGTTGAGGAAGGTTGGGGAGCCACCCAAATTGGACATGGCGGCAGTGCCGTATCCATTCATGCTTGTGGTGACAGAGTTGTAGTTGGTCTGCTGCGGGGTGGTGCTGGGCACATACCCATGTGGCGACACGCTGCTTGAGTTTCGGGTGAAACCTAAGGGGTGGGGGCAAAACCAGGGGTGAGGAGGGGTTCAGGTGGGTGGCCAAACTGGAAGACTCTTGGGGTAGGTGAGGTCTCTGTTTCCTGGCCCCTTAACGCAACCCAGAGGGAAGGGGCCAGGTGATTCATGTGTGTGCCCTGGTGGTGCTAGCTCTGTGATTAAAATGGGAAGCCAGCAAAAGACACATTTCTTAGGAGATCATAAATACTTAGCAGGCCCGTGAGAAGTGGCAATGCAGGGCCTATAAATTATCATTTTGGAGCAGAAATAAATCCCAATCTAAGAGATGTACCCTGGCGTTAACAGGTTTCTATTCCCTGGGTGAAAATGATGTGTTTGGGCCCCTCAGAACTTTAATTCCAACCCTCTTTGCGATCTGTCACGTGTGGTTTATGGCGAAAAGTCAAACGTATAGATGGCTAAATGCATGCATCCTCTAGGCGCCCAGGGTGGGCGACCAGGTGTGATAGCTAGCCAGATACCATATTCTAAAATAATGTCTGCTGCACACCCTCTTGTTAAATAGAACATCTTTTTAAAAGAATGAAAAGAATGCCAAATAAAAGGAAGGCGAGAGCTGGGGGCGTGGGAGGGGTGGGGAAAACTAGAGAAAGAGCCGGCTCCTGACCCTGATTGGTTGCCTGTGATGCCTCCGAGACGTTCACGGCCAGCTGCCCGCTGAAGGAATTCACACCCATCATCCCTGCGTGCACCGAGGTGTTGGCGAGGGCCGGCAGCTGATTGTGGTTGCGGGGGACACTGTACAGGGCCTCCGCGATATCTGCCGCTCTCTTCAGAATGATTTCCTGCAAAGGAAAATAAGGCCTCCCCTTTAGCTAGCCAGCCAGACTCCCAACAACGTCATTGCTCCCAGGGCTTGCTACCTGCCAGGCAAGGTGCTCTGGGCTTACTGCTATGTGTAACTTCATCCACATCTGTAACTCTCCCCCAAATGTAAGTCTCATCAGTATCACCCCTATATCACAGGCGGAGCACTGGGGCTCAGAGAGAGGCCATCCTCACTAAAGACAGTCTCCTATTGGAAGGCAGGACCTGGATTCAAAACTGCATAGGTCTGCCTTTGCATACTTTCCAATTAGAGACAATACTGAATTTTCTACCCATAGCCTGGGATCTGGGAGGTTTCCAGAGAGAAAGAGGGGTGGAGAAGAGAGTGTCAGCAACATATCCACCCTATTGAATTTGAGGACAAGTCGTAGAGGGCTGTTTGTCCCTGGGTTGAGTGGAACCCAGTCCCCTGGACGTTGTAGAAGTTGTGAATGGTTTGCTGGACCCTAAGTTTCTTAAGCACCTGAATTCATACACGTGGAGTTGCTCTATGAAAGAGAAGCCCCTAATACTGCTCGGGCCTCATGAAATATTTTAGAAGACATAAAATCCTCTTTCTCCTCCTAAATTTGCTGCCAGGGGCGAAAGGAAGGAAGCTGAGAGAAATAAAAGGAAGCACCAGTAACTCTCTTGCTCCATTATGAAGTATGCCCCCACGAGAGATGAGTGTTAAAGGGAGTCTCTCCTTTGCATACAGAACCGGTGCGGTGGGGAAGGCAGTAACAGATTTGCCCGAGGAGAGAGTCATTGGACAGCCTTACAACGTGTTGTATCAGGACCACGCAGCCTCTTAACGGAGGAGCGTGGCTGTTTGCATATTCCTCCCACTTTCTCAGGCGATAGGGGACTGGGCTCTGCCACTGGACCTGAGAGGGCACCAGGGAGACCCTGCCCTCCCCTGCGCTCCCCCACCCCCACCCCCCTCAGCTCACCTGGTTGTTGTGTGGCATCCCATACAGCGCTTCCACCAGGTCCGCAGCCCTTTTGAGGATGACTTCCTGTCAAGACAAAAGCAGACGCAGGCCTCTGAATGAGGACAGGCTGTCACTCCCTCGGCCCCAGATCAAGTGCCAGTTCCCTCTGGTCATGCTTTGCCAAGGCACGCTTCAAGGCAGTAGCTCGGGGAACCCCAGGAATGGCGCTAAATCACCAAACCGTCCCTGTTCACAGACACACTTAATTGAGTCAAAAGGTGAGCATCATTGGTCCTGCAGGATAAAAGACACCACTCGATCGTCTGCCATAGGCACGAGAAAGCCCTCCTGTGTTCATTGCTGAACACAATCCCGGGGTCATTTGCTGGATTGCGACAATCGATGTCGTTCAGTGCATGTTATGAATCCCTAAGATGTGTTTATTTTGCACTTAATTGCTTCTTCCAGGAACCATGACCTTATCAGACAGGTCATTTTTGAGGGATTTCCAATCAATCTTTGGCTACTAGAAGCATGTAGCACTCAACTTCCTTTGTTCCGCTTCCTTGCGTGGCGAGTCACGGGCCCGCGTGGTGTTTAGCCAGCCCACAGACTGGGCCAAACCACTGCTCCTCAGAGGCTCTGGCTGCGGGATTCTCCTGCTCCCACAAGCCCCCTCGGCACCGATTTGCGTGATGGGCAGAGTCTGGTTTTATGTTTTGCAGGAATTCTTGAATATTTCAATGTTATTTGTCGTTTCCTATTTGCTCATTCTTTCTCATCCTGCGTGCTGCTCATCTCCATTGAAGGGAAAACTACCTCCCCCGATTCATTTAGGTGGGCTTCCATCTTTAACGTACACACTGGTGTCTAAGAATAGAGGATACTCTGCAAAGAGTGTGTAGGAGTAATTTTTTCTTATTGGAACCCAAAGAAGTAACCCTCCCTCCAGTCTGCCCTCACTTTCTGCAGTTTCATTTACACCGGGATGTGAGAGAGGCCAGGCGAGTGAAGCACGCTGTATGTATGGGGAACAGGGAATGATCCGAAAAGGAACGTAAAGGCACGCTGTGATCAGCAATGGTAATTTGCAAGAAGGTATGTTTACCATTTTTTGCTGTGGGTAAAGTTTCAAGGAGAAGTTTAAATTTAAATATTTTGCACAATACATTTCTGCTGAGAGAGGCAGTGCTGTTCAATTTTCCTATACTGCAGAAGCTGATCAGAAAATAGGGATATAATTACATTCATTTTGCTGTCACCATAGCCTCTTCAAAAATCCTGGAACAACTCTGGAAATGACAAGCTTTTAGATACATATTAGCATTTTTCAATTTTAAATTCTCTATAATATGAGATAAAACAATTGTCATACTGCAGTAACTACTTATGACATATATAATGTCCTAAATTCAAAAATGAGATAGAGGGGTTTTGAGTTCTCAATAAACATTTGTGCCTGCCATAAGCTGCAAGAGCCCCCCCATAACATAGTTCCATTCATTCCCACACTGGGAGCAGAAAGCATTCTATAATCAATGGGGTTAGAATCAATACATCCCAAATCATTCCTTTACTTTTTAATGCAATCAAAGAGAAAATTTGCCCACTTTGGGGTTGCAGTCTTGTCTGGCTGCAGCAGTGAATAAGTCACTGCGTTACAGGCACACTGAGCCCTACCCCCTTGGTCAAATTCAGCTCTTGCTGCTATTCGTAATACCCCATGGTCTTACATGGCTCTTCAGAAAGATGAAAACAAAATAGGATCAAGTTCATTTATTTATGAAGACTTGACTTTTGGGAGTCTATGTTCATTTACTTCTTCAAATAAATATTTATGCATGATGTCAAAAGTGTATGGGGGGCAGCTAAGGAAGTGGCCTCATTGAGGGCCACCCCAATGGTACCAGAATCGGGCACTTGGAGAACAGGGCTTCTAATCATCCTTACTTTCATAATACCAGGCAAGTTAAAAAATACATTCCAAAATCTTTGAAGCTTTAGGACATTTGAAAAGTTCCAAGTCTCAAGGTACGCTGTACTTTGGGTGCCATATATTTTTGGGTGATGAAATTGTCCAACGATATCATCCATTTGTTCCATTTTCTCTCCTTGTTTTACGACCCAGTGTTCTTGTGGCGCAGTCCTTGGGAACTGAAACATGGCAGCCTCCTCTCCTGAAGGCACAGCCGTCTTTGGGCCATGACGGCGGAGCGGCATGTTTTCCCGGTCGATCTATTTTCATAGGTGGGCCATCAGCCCAACCTCAGCTCAGGCCCTCAGGCAGGAGGGGAGGGAGCCTGGGTTTTCTGTTGTCCTGAACATTATGCCTGTAAGTGATATGCAGCCCATTTGAAAATGCCCTTCATGGCAGGGCCAACGTTAAGATTTAAGGGAGAACCAAATTTGGTTCAGCGTTGCCAATGTTATTCAGTTCCCATTAGTTATTTCTGCAAATAGGAAGGAGAAAGGAAATTTCTGGGTCCTCTATGAGTTAGAGCAATGGACCTGCAAGGTGCTTGGATTTCGGTGACCAGAAAATTGCTCTCACCTCCATGTCATTACGCTCCTAGTGAACTAGCCCCCGAGCGTGTTTGTGTTGGGGATCTAATATATTGCCTTTCAATCAGAGCTGAGAGCCACTGAACACACAGACAGAACATGACGAGCAGGTCAGGAAAGCAATAAAGATTTTACAGAGCTGTCCAAGGTGCTAAATTTACTCAATAATGGGTTTGGCACCATAGTGTTAACCTCTCATTTACTACCAGTTTGAGGGACTAAATTGAAGTAACTGACTTCATTTACCTTGAAATGTATATTTTATGACATTATGTAAGTAGATTGAAAGGGCACTGCAGCTTTAACAATTTAAAGGCTAAAACATGTTTAAGATGAGACTTGAATATTTATTGTATATTGCACTTAAAGTATATAGAATGTTAAAATGTATTGATTAAATTTGTAAAAGGCATTATAAAAATGACAGGTAATACAAAAGATGTATGCCTTTTAAAATCAAATTGATAGTGTGTGCTATCTCTTCTGTGGTCACAAGTGTAATTTTTTTGCAGTTTTATATGGTAATTTGAAAAATCTGTAATTTCACATTAGGAAATGATTGAGAATGGGATGTTAAAAAAAGAAATTTCCCATAAGGGGAAGAGCTGGATGTTCCACATGATCTTTTGTCTTTGAAATTGTTCCTAAAGTCTTATTTCTGTGGCATTGAGAGGGAGCACGGAACAGAGACCCTTCCAGTCTAACACGCAATTTTAATATTTCTGAAAAGGAAGAGCAGTTGGCTAGTACTAATATCTAATTTTTCAAGGCATTTATTTGTCAGGAGAGATTTTCTCTTCTTTTTATAATGTTTAAAATGTCTCCCTGCTTGCAGTTCAAAATATGAGGGTAGAGATTATACCCTGCCAAGATAATTAATCCTAGCCTTGCATTTTAAAATCTATCTATCTATATTCCATTTGGGAGTTGAAAAGACAAATACCAGTATCCTAACTACTGAGACGTGTCAGCATCTCCTAAGAACCCCAGCGCCTGCTTTCCAGTCCACATCCTGAATCAAGACTATGTTTTGCTTTCCATGACCTTGACTTTCTTCTCTCTTAAAGAGACAGAAGATGCTTGCTCCTGATAAAGCAATCACAACATCCCACCTATTTCTTCTCCCAATGGAAATTCAGCTTGGCATGCTGTGCTATGACCATCCATTGATGAGTAAGTGAGTGGAAGTCTGCAGAGAGAGCAGCGGCTGAGCTGCACTCAATCTATGAAGAGTCTACAGAAACAAAGCGGCTCTCAAAGAGGGTTCTAGAAACGGTCCAATTGTAATGCTTCTGAGTTTCACTGGGGCTTTGGAACCACTATCATTAAATATATATATATATATATATATATCTGAATGGCCTACAGATACAACAAGAAGAATCAGTTTTCCCTACTTAGCAGCAACCCATTCAATTAGCAAATAGCAATTAGCAAATAGCAATTAGCAAATTCAGTTGCTTTGGAGCATCTTGTCCTCATAGTTACACATGGATATTGCTCCTCTGGACGCTTCACACTTGGATCTTCGCAGCAAAGAGCGCTCTGAGCTCACAGAGGGTCTTAAGTTCTGTCGTTGCTGTGGGGTGTTTTCCATGTTCATTCCAACTCGAAGCAACCCCGTCTGACAGAGCAGGAGAGCTCTGTAAGGTTTTCTATATGGTGCTGTTTGTAAGACCTGGTTGTCAGATCATTGTCCCCAGAAACTACTACTGATGGGCTTGAATTGCCAATCTATTGGGGAGCAACCAACTACTTCACTGCGGTGCCACCTGGGCTCCTTCTCAAGACATCACAGCTGATGACCATCCGCTAGAGCGATCCTCTTCCCCTCCGCCTCTGAACAACTGCTTTCTATTCTGGTTCCATAAAGGTCTCCTTACCCTTCAAGTAAAACCTTTGACTGCTTCCTATCTCTTCCTTCCTTTTGCCTTTCCTTTCATCAGAATGTTGGCTTCAGTCTGTGTCCATTTACCAAGCCATCCCATCCTTACAAACCTGTTCGTGGGGTGGTGGTGATGGTGATACAATTAAAGACAAAAAAAACCAGCCACCATGTATGAAAAGTTTCCCACATGCCTGGACCGAGGGAATCCGTTAAGGTACAAATCACATCTGCATTTGGCCAGTGGGGAAACTGAGACTCAAACAGAGTGGCCGGCTTTTCCCAATCATTGGTTGGTTCATATGACGGTATGGTTCAAAACAAGCCCGGTAGACAGCAGAGCTTGCACTCTTGAGTCCTACACTATTCTATCTGAACTAATTCTGCTTTCTATTGATACCCCAGGTCCTAATCTTCATCACTCCCTCCCAAAGAGTGCTGATGCCCCGTCCTGCCCAGCGGAGCATGGAAGTAGATACCGTCAGGGCATTGTGGTTTAATCTGAAGCATGTGAATCCCAACCTTGCACAACTGGACCGTAGACTCTTTGAGGCCATGGACATGCTATAATCTCCCAGCACACGGGTCCTCATACCACAGACCTTGAGAAGTGCTTGCTGAAGGGTTTATTCTAAGA